AAGAATGGGAAACTCTTATTAACTTCCTGTAGTACTGTTTTGGACTGAATGTTTGCATCCCCCCCCCACCTCCAATTCATATTTTGAATCCCTAGCCCTCAGTGTGACTGTGTGTGGAGATGGGGCCTTTAAAGAAGTAATTAAGGTTAAATAAGGTCATAAGAGTGGGGCCCCGACCCAATAGGATTAGTGTCCTTACAAGCAGAGACACCAGAGAGCTGCCATGCTTGTGCTCTCTCCCTCTTACCCTCCCTACACACACACATACACACTGAAGAAAGGCATTGTGAAGCCATAGAAAGAGGATGGCCCTCTACAAGCCAGGAACAGAGCTCTCACAAGAAACCAAACTTGATGGCATCTGAATCATGACTTCTAGCATCCAGAACTAGGAGAAAATATATCTCTGTTGTTTAAACCACTGTGGGGGATCCCTGAGTGACTCAGTGGCTTAGCGCCTGCCTTCAGCCCAGGGCATAATCCTGGAGTCTCCCGGGATCGAGTCCCGCATCAGGCTCCCTGCATGGAGCCTGCTTCTCCCTCTGCCTGTGTCTCTGCCTCTCTCTCTCTCTCTCTGTGTCTCTCATGAATAAATAAATAAAATATTTAAAAATAAATAAAATATTAAAAAATAAAAATAAAAATAAAATAAACCACTGTGATATTTTGTTACAGCAGCCTGAGGAATCTAAGTACTTATAAAGCTTCAGAGGGCTTTAAGCTGGGACTCAAGGCTAGAAGAGGTTCAGTAAAATTGTTTAAAATGTAACCCTACATAGTTTATTTATTTAGAAAGATTATTCTGAGAAGAGAAGGGGTGCAGAGGCTTTTCCAGAGTGGCGATGAAATTCGTGGCATAAAAAAAGATTTAGAGCCTCTTCACCTCCTTTTGGCAGACATAAAATAAATATATGTGGTGTCAGGGTGACATGCCTCTCTAATTGTCTTCAGCCATAAATTTAACTTGGGCCTAATATATTCTAGTCTATAAACTTTAACTGTATTAAAATTTGAACCTCAATATAGATAGAGATTTAAGAAGACCATTACATAGAATCTTCTAAAATATTTTATGCTGACAGACACATATGTTGAGTGTGAGCCACTGTGTACCACTGCACATAACTATAAATATATACACACAAGTAGCCTAGTGTAGCATAATAAGTATTACAAATTACAGTAAGCGTTATAGCGGTTAATTCAACAGGGCAACTAAAAATATTATCAATAATATTTTAAAGCTGAATAAGAGTCTTTCCAAGTGAAGCAGAGCTGCTGATGTCTGAAATAGAACAACAGCTCACACATTTGCTGGCAGTGCTCTGGGAAAAAGGCTAATGAGCCAATGTTAATGAATGGAGTAAGAAAGCCAATCAACAAGTATTTGTAAAGAGGGAGCCAGTGGTTTATAAATAGGTCTAAAAATCCCAAATATGGTATCTGTGAAAAAGAATAACAATAATTTTAATTTCCAGAGCAGAGACCTCTCACAACTCCATCAACATCAAATCCTATTGCCAAAAATCCAATGCTTTATAAAATACAGAATGGGGAAGAATTAAGCAAGCAGAGGCCAAGCTTTCATAGATACCTAAACAAGATTGCTATGAAAATAAACTTTTTGTGGGGCTTTCCTTTGTATTCTATTTGTACACAATTATATTTATATAATCACATATTTACGGTTTATGTAATTACATACTGAAAGAAGTTGCATAAAAATAGGCAATGTATAAATACTATCAACCTTTAACTTTGTTTTAATGAAATGCAAAAAAGATATAATGTAATAGAAACTCTTATTTTATATTGCTTGTTCCCAATATCTTATTGAGTTGACTTTACTAGTTACTCTAAAACTAGTCTACAACTGGGGAAGAGAAAATTACTATGAGATGGTCCAAAAAACAGATTCTTAAAAACTAGATTAAAGTAACATTTGTAGAATTCTTTACACTTCACAAACTACTTTAACCTACATTCTCTGAAGCTATTTAATAGTTGATTGTATGTAGTATGTAGTGTGTAACTATTGCTATCCCCAAAGAAGATTTAGAATCAGTTTCTTTAAAGTAAATCACCAAACTTCAAATTTTTAAAATTTAAATTCAATTTAGTTAACACATAGTGTAGTATTAGTTTCAGTGAAATTAGTGATTCACCAGTTGTATATCACATCCAGTGCTCATCACATCACGTGCCCTCCTTAATGCCCATCGCCCAGTTACCCCAACCCCCCACCCATCCTCCTCCAGTGACCCTGTTTGTGTCCTAGAGTTAAGAGTGTCTTATGGTTTGCCTCCTTCTCTGTTTTTATTTTTCCTTCCCTTATGTTTATGTTCATCTGTTTGATTTCTTAAATTCCACATGAGTGAAATCATATAACTGTCTTTCTCTGATTTATTTCGCTCAGCATCATATACTCTAGTTCCTTCCATGTCGTTGCAAATGGCAAAATTTCATTTTTTTTGATGGCTGAGTAATATTCCATTGTGTGTATGTGTGTGTGTGTGTGTGTGTGTGTGTATCTTCTTTATCCATTCATCTGTTGATGGACATCTGCCAAATTATAAATGTTTTTGATATTTATTTCTGTTAGGTACATTGGTCAGATTTCTGTGTATGTTATATTGTCTAACACTATAGTTTAGGTGGACATTTAACAATTACACTGAAATCAGTGCTAATAGGTGTACAAAGAGATGAGAGAAAAAAGGAATATAATTGAACTAGATGTATAGAGTTATGGGTGCTATGAAGCACAGATGTGATGAGCTAAGAGTCGTATTTCTCCTAGTGGATGGGAAGTGATGGAGATGAAAAACAAGAACTGTTCCTGGAAGATATACCTAAACACTTCCTGTGCCCTTTCCTAGTGCTGCTGAATTGCCCCTTAGCAGGTTCTTACACATGTTTGGACCTGTCTGCAAAAAATGTAGGTAGCCACCCATAGGTCTCAAACCTAGCAGAGGGGGAGAAAGGTGTAGAGGGACTGACTCATGTGGTTTGTTACAGAAAGTCAAGTAACGGATGCAAAATGCATCCTGAGGGGTGACAGGGACAGTCCAGGATGTGTGTGATCTGGACAGACAGGCAGAGTTCAGGTCATAAGAAAGTGTAAATGCCAGATTGAGGAGTCTGATATTTGTTCAATACTCAATATGCACCCAGACCACAGTAGGTGACCAGTGACAGCCTTCAGTGACCATCTCAAGTCATCTCAAGGAGAAATGGACAACAGGAAGAACTGGAAGACCAGTTAATCAGAGGCACTCAAGCACTATTTTTAAACAGTCAGATATGATAGAAACATAATGTATTCAGATGACTTAAGGGTCTTTCTCACATCTGTGTGAACATCAGTAAACCTTCATTTTAATGACTCTAACAACTTATACCTTGTGATGCACAAGTATTTGGAGAACTGCTTGCAAGCACATGAGCCCCTTTCCCCTTATGTATATACAATAATTTTACATACATAATTTGTATACATAATATATAACAAGTTTTGGAGCAGTTCTTCAGAGCAATTTGAAAGACTGTTCCTGGGCTATAGTTCTCAGTAACACAATGAATAAAGTATTTACTAGCTTACTTAGCTGGTGACTTTCTGTTTACAGTGGGGAGCCATGGAAAAGCAGAAGTGGATAACCACTTTTTAAAAAGTCAAAATTTTGGGCCACCTGGGGGGCTCAGTCAGTTAAAGGTCTGCTTTCAGCTTGGGTCATGATCCCAGGGACCTGGGATAGAGCCCTGCATGGAGCCCTGCATTGGGCTCCCTGCTCAGTGAGTCGCCTGCTTCTCCCTCTCCCTTTGCCCCTTCTCCCCTGCTCAGCTTCTCTCCTGTTCACTCTCTAAATAAATAAAATCTTAAAAAAAAAAAAAGGTAAAAAAATTCTCTGGAGTTTTATGAACACAGATAGAAATACTTTACCTGGCTTGTTCATCTTTGTAAATCCAGCACATAAGAGTTCCCAGCACATAATAGGAGGGCATTTTGCTGAACAAATGAAGCAGCTTGAAGGGGCCTTCGTAGAGAAATTACACAAGATTTCAAAGCAATTAGGATTATTTTCCATCTTTGGGAGGCAATTTGACAATATACACCAAGATTCTTATAAATATTCCTATCATTTAAACCAGTAATTCTATTTGTGGGACTCTATCCTAAAGTGATAATCCTAAATGCAGAAAAGGTTTATGCAAAAAAGTTCATTACTTTAAAAATTGCTTTTAATAGAGAAAAAAAATGGAAACAACCAGGCTAACAATTAGGAAACAAGTCACTGTGTACATTTTATCTGTGGGGTATTTGATAAGCTGTCATTAAAATGATTATAAAGACACTAAAATACCAGAGGAAAAGATTTGTATTAGTATATTAAGCTTTAAAGACCCCCACCAAGATGCACAATAGAAGACAGAGCATGATTATAAATTATGGGGACTGTGGTGTGGGTAGAGGAGAAATCTCAAAGTTTGTCCGGAGGTAGTAAAACACATTTTTTTCTTCTTCTTTTTTTTTTTTTTTTAATTTTTAGCCTTCTGTGTCTTTTCCTTATTTCTCACAATTACTTCATTCATTCCGCAAGTACTTACTGAGAGCCCAGTATGTGGGCAAACGGCAGTGAATAAAACACAATCCTGTCCACATGGAACTTACAATTTAGCTGGAAGTCGCAGAGAATTAAGACGAATCGATTAAGTGTCATATTACACGATCGGTGCCTGGCGAAAAAATAAGTCGGAGGGAACCAACCAGATACTACACTTACTTTTTGACCTGCCGGGAAAGATAACTCCTGTAGGTGAAAGGACAGCGGGCCCAACCGTGCCCTCGCCGGCGGGTCGCAGCCTGCAGGAGCCCAGAAGCACCAGCCCGGCAGGCGCCGCTGCAGCCCACGGCGGCCGCGGCGGCGGCGGGGGGCGGGGGCCACACGCGATCACGTGACCCCAGGGGCGGGGGCAGGAGGACCGAGAAAACAGCGAATTTGCCGCCTCACTTTCTCTTCAGGAAGGCCGGCGGAGCCGAAAACCAAACAAACGTCTTCTGAGCGATTGGGGGCGGGGCAGACGCCGGCGGACTGAGCCTCCAGCGCCGGGACTCTCGCCGCGTTGGCTTTTCGGTTGTTGGTCAGCGTGGCAGAGCCGTCTGCGGTCGGGCTGAGACGTGGGGAGCAATGGCGACCTTTGTGAGCGAGCTGGAAGCGGCCAAGAAGAACTTGAGCGAGGCCCTGGGGGACAACGTGAAACAGTAAGAGCGGTTGTGGCGCAGCTTCCAGGTCTCCGCGCCTGTGCTCCCCTGGCTTCGGGCTGCCCCCCGCCCCCGGAGACGCCCCTCGCCGCCCCGAGGCCTGCGCTGCCTGGCGTCCCGGGCGGCGGGGCCTCCGGGTTTCTTGGGCCAGCGCGGGGCTGGAGGGCCGGGCCTCCCTGCCTCCTGCGGGCCGCGGGCCTCGGGGGGGCGCCTTCGCCCGGGACTCCCCGCCCTGCGCGGGCGGGAGAGGCACGATCCGTGCCTAAACGGTTGCAGGCCCCCATGCAGAGTTCGAGACCGGTGAGGCCTGCCCCGGGCCGGGTGACCGCGAACGCGACGCTCCCCGGCGGGAGCGGGCACCGCGTGGGGCGGCGCGCCCCTGGAGGGCTTCCTGGAGGCGGAGGCTTACCGAGATCCGGGCCCTGCGTAGACCCTGCGTTTTAGAGCGTTGACAACAGTTTCGGAAGGCAGACAGACCCGCGGGTAGAATACCGAACATCACTGCAGTGATAGTGAGGATCTCAGTAGGGGACATTAATTGAACACTTTTTAAGTACTCTCCAATGTACTATCTCATCTAATCCTCACAGCAGGGATGTGAGGTAGGTACGGTTACCCTTCTCATTTGATGAGAAGACTGAGATCTAGAGAAGTTAAGTCTTCAAAAGTCACTGGGCTCCCCGTGCCCTAATTCCTGGCCCTGATACCTTACAAAGGGTTCTTTTTTTTTTTTTTTAAAGATTTATTTATTTATTCATGATAGAGAGCGAGAGAGAGGCAGAGACACAGGCAGAGGGAGAAGCACGCTCCATGCAGGGAGCCCAGCGTGAGACTCGAACCCGGGTCTCCAGGACCACGCCCTGGGCCAGAGGCAGGCGCCAAACCGCTGAGCTACCCAGGGATTCCCCCCTTACGGGGGGTTCTAGAGGAACCTGCGCCCAGCCAGGCGGACACAAGCAGGTCCGATGCGGAATGGCAGGATGGAAGATCAATACTTCATCCAAGGCCGAAGCCAAATATATTTCTGAAATAACAAGGAGGTGTTTTAGAAGTTGTTGGAACATCAACTGTTATTACAATTTTACTTTTTAAATTTGTATTATTTTTTAAAGATCTCATTCATTCATTCATTCATTCATGAGAGACACAGAGAGGCAGAGACAGAGGCAGCCCTCCCCCCACCCCCCACTCAGCCGAATTCGGGACTTGATCCCAGGACTCCCGGTTCATAACCTGAGCAGAAGGCAGATGCTCAACCACTGAGCCACCCAGGTGCCCCCTCTATTTGGTTAGTAAAGACCAATGCTGGCTATCAAATGTTGGTCAAATATAGATGCTAAAGCTAAATTTGGTGCATCTGTAGGGTGAATCACTATATTGCACTGATATTGCAATCAAAATATGCTTTTGTGCCAGGAATAGTTAGTGGCACAGGGTTGGTATTTGTTTTTCCATTCTCTCGCTTTTTCCCCTGCTCCTTAAAAAGTGCCTTTCGGTTAAACACTCTGTACTATTGCTATACAGTAATTTCTCACATTTCCTTCGTGAGTAGTTTGCTTTGGTTTATATAACCTGGCAGTTTAAACATGGTCCTGGGTGGTAGGTAAAACACAGAGAGTGTATAAGGAACCCAGATAAGAGTTGCTTTCTATTTATCTAGTGGTCCACATGTCCTTTATGTCAGGTTGCATGCCCACATCAGCTTCTAGAAAGACATGGCCTTTGCTAGCTAATTCACTTTGTGTAGTACCCAGGAAGGTGTCCTATTTAAAGTGTTGAATTTTTTTGGTGGCTTGATCATATGTTATTTAGTTTTCTCTAAATATCTCCAGTGCTTCCTAGTTTGACCCACTCCCATTTCTCTCCTATCATCCTCATTTTCATAGATGTTGACTCTGGTATTGTTGAGGAAAACAGTCATTTGTCCATGGCTGTACAGCAAGGTAATATAGGGACCAGGTTTGGGGAGCAGGTCTCTCAGATCTTTTCGGCTAGGAAGTTTGCCATTGGAGAAGATAAGTAGTATCATGTTGGCAGAGCTTCCTGTTAGAGCCTTGTTTTACATATAAGTTCACACTCAAAATTTTTGCATCGTTCTTGCCAAATAGTGACACAGGGCTTTTAAATAATGAAATTTGTCTCATGTTACTATCCTCTTTTGTTGGATAGAATGGGCCAGGAAGAAACTTGTTTTTTCTGTAGAGCTTTATTTCCTGTCCTAAAACAAAACAAAACAAAACAAAAAACACGAGCATTTAGATGTCTGTTGTTAAGAAGTTACTGACTAATGAGCGTGTGTGAGTATCAGGTGAAATGTCCTGCCAAGCTCTGAAACTAAACATTTTGCTGTTGAAATGGGTCTTGGGCAACTTTGGCCCCATTAAAACTATAGTTTTCTCCTGGGGGGGGCGAAAAATGGATGTGAGCCCAAAGCTTTGCATGCAGTTACATGCACACATATCCAGTTACATACAGAGGTACATACTAAGATGACTTGAAGGGAAGCTATGTGCAGGAGAAGCCCTGCCATGGGTATAATGCAGTGAGAGCATTAAACCATCTAATTTAGAAATCTTCTTTTTTCTTTTCTGTTAGGAACTCAAATGAGAATTAGAAAATAGCTAAGTGTAAGTTGAAAGTGATTGTAAGACATGCACTGAGTAGTCTTTAATTCTGTTTGATGAACAAGGGCTGTGGATGTGAAAAGTCATATTTTAGTGCTCTGATAATGTTGTTAAGGTCTAAGGGATCAAATCTTTTTTTTTTTTTTTCCTCTCAGTTAACTGGTACCTTTTATAACTAGTGGTTGGTTTTCACTTTAAAAACCACTAAGTTTCTCATATCCACGGGTATTTTCTTTGTGGTGAGGTGTTTTAGAAACTCATTACTCCAGCCAGTTAGATTAAAACTTGAGTTCATTTGAAAGGAAAAAGTTTATCAGGATCAATATTAATGACTACTCCCGAACCCATAAAACACAAACATCTTTTAAAATACAAATCTTTTGGGATCCCTGGGTGGCGCAGCGGTTTGGCGCCTGCCTTTGGCCCAGGGCGCGATCCTGGAGACCCGGGATCGAATCCCACGTCGGGCTCCTGGCGCATGGAGCCCGCTTCTCCCTCTGCCTGTGTCTCTGCCTCTCTCTCTCTCTGTGACTATCATAAAATTAAAAAAAAAAATCTTTTTTTTTATTGAGGAATGATTGACATGTAACATTATATTAGTTTTGGGTGTGCAACAAGTATTCTATCTGTATACTGCAAAATTATCACGATGAGTCTAGTTCATATCTGTCATGACACATAGGTAAAAAAATTTTTAATGAACTTTTAAGATCTCTCAGCAAACTTCCAAATATACAATAGTTTATTAATTATAGTTAATTATAAAAATTAATGTATTTGAAATTAATATTTAAAAATTAATACTTTTAATAATAATACTTTTAAAATATATATCTCAAATGTAGGATTCTGGAGGGTAGGTCTTTTACAAAGGCAACAGAGAAGAAGGAAAGGTATGTCTGTGATTTTTGGCTAATTGACTTGTGAGTCCAATTGTGTGACTATCAGTTCCTTTTTGGAAGAACTTCCTTTTCCTTCTGTTGGTTTTCTGATTCCTAGGTGTATTCATTTTCAAGGCTGCCATAACAAAATACCACAGATGGGGTGGCTTAAACAACATAGATTTGTTTTCTCCTAGTTCTGGAGGCTGGAAGTCTGACATCAGAGTATCCTCAGGATTGTTTTTTCTGAGGCCTCTCCCTTAGGCTTGTAGATGGCCACTGTCTGGGGTCACGGGTGTGTGTGTGTGTGTGTGTGTGTGTGTGTGTGTGTGTGTGTTCGTGTGTTCGTTCTTTCTGTCCTAATCTCTTTTTACAAGGATACTCATCAAATTGGCTTAGGGCCCACCCCCACCCTGAAGAAAACGCCATTTTAGTTTAATTACCTCTTTAAAAAGGTTTTGTCTCCAAATACAGTCACACCCTGGGTACTGGGGTAATGATTAGGGCTTCAACGTATGAATTTGGGGAGAAGTGTATGAACTCAGTTCACAATACAGTAGGAAATGCAAAATTTCCTTTCCTTGGTTTTGGAGCAGGTAAGGTGAATTTGGGAAGGAAAGAAGCAGACCCGTTGGTTCTTAATACTGCTTCTGCCTTTGCAGATACTGGGCTAATTTAAAGTTGTGGTTCAAGCAGAAGATCAGCAAAGAAGAGTTTGACCTTGAAGCCCATAGACTTCTCACGCAGGATAATGGTAAAATAATTATCCGGAGAGTTACTTTACTGTTCTGAAGTATTCTCAGATTTGTAATAAATGACAGATAAGTAATTGCAAAAATAAATGGCAGTACATTTTGCAGTAAATCTTTTCACTTAAAAAATAAAATTGGGTTTAGTGGTGTGTAAGATTATTTTAATAATATGGATATTTGAAATAAAGTGTAAAGAATGGCAGGGTGGGGATAATCCAAAGTTAAATAATGGTTTCCTTACATTTTTAAATATTTTGTAATTTACTTGTGACAATCTTCCCTTTTTCAGTCCATTCTCACAACGATTTCCTCCTGGCTATTCTTACGCGTTGTCAGATTTTGGTGTCTACACCAGGTAAGGGAGTGGAAATACTTCTGGGGATGTCATTCAGCAGAGCCATGGAGCAGTGGGCTTTAGTTTCCTCTTTAACAGACACATCTGTTGTTTGCAAGTGAAATGTTCTTTGAACTGCTCAGAAGAAAACATTTATTATGTAGGTAAAGATGGTTTTATAGAACCTTTGTGAAGTAGATGATTTCCCTGTGCTTATACTGAATTTTGGTCTTTACTGTCCACTCAGCTTGATTTTGTTTTATTATTTTTTTTAATAATAAATTTATTTTTTTTAATAATAAATTTATTTTTTATTGGCGTTCAATTTGCCACTGAGCATATGAACCCAGTCTCATCCCGTCAAGTGCCCCCCTCAGTGCCCATCACCCATTCACCCCCACCCCCCGCCCTCCTCCCCTTCCACCACCCCTAGTTCATTTCCCAGAGTTAGGAGTCTTTATGTTCTGTCTCCCTTTCTGATATTTCTTACACATTTCTTCTCCCTTCCCTTATATTCCCTTTCACTATTATTTATATTCCCCAAATGAATGAGAACATATAATGTTTGTCCTTCTCCGATTGACTTATTTCACTCAGCTCAGCTTGATTTTAGATTGCGTAAATGAGATGCCAGAGGGCGAACAATCAGGATGAAGAAGCCAAGGGCCGCTGGTGTTAGGAGAGGGTTTCTGTGATCTAGGGAAGATGAGTTAGGGTTAGGCGGAGGAGAAACCACAACGTGGTGAGAACCTGGACTTTGACTTGTATTCTCAAGTAGGAGATTGGCACCTGGAAGATTACAGCCTTAGCTTGTTGGGGAGGTAGGTAGGGGCTGATTCTGTCACATACCCGAAATAGATACAGATAAGAAACAGTGACTATTTTGCCCTAATTTTTTGGAGCTTAAGTGGTATAAGTCACTTTTTTCAACCATCTTATTTTAATCAAGTGATCAAAAATAAATGCATTAAAATTTGCCTCACAATAAAAACTATATTGAGCTCTTGTTAGAAATTTGGATTTCTAGGTATCTCGTGCTGTAGATTAAGTTGAATATTTTTGTTTTTAAAGGACTTGTGGTGATTGTGATAATAATCTTTATGGAGAAATGGCTAGTACTTTCTGTGTTTCTCACCTAACCCTCTACTGTATAATAATGAACTCAGATGCAGTCTCCTAAAGTCCAAGTCCCCCACACTCAAAGAAGTTGTCATTGGTAAAGAGTAGTTAACAATGAGCATTTGTATATGGAGATTGGAGTTAATAGGGGCTGCTTCCCTTACCCCACACTGCCCTTTTCTGCACATTGTCACGTGTATCTGATTTTGCATGTTCTGTTTTCTTTAAATAGAAGTGGACTTCAGCTAGTTAGATCATAGAGATGATCCACTCCTTAGTGTAAAATTTAATTTGATCAGGAAAGACAGCATTGTGAGAACTAGATCTTGCTCTGTATATTTATTCTAAAGTGGCATATGTGCAAAAGGTGAGTGGTATGTTTGGGGATAGAAACCCTGGTTGATTAGAGTCAAGAGACTTAGGTTCAAGTTTAGGTTTTGCCACTAGCTTAGGTAGTATAGTTAATTATTGGATGTTCTTAGCTTTTACATTACAGTAATATCTGCTCTACAGATATATATATATAGATAGATAGATAGATAATTATATTTATACATATACGGATGAAAGAACATATGAAAAAGTGCTCTTGAAAGTAAAAAAATGCTAAACAAAATGAAGTATTAGTATAAGTGGCTGATTTTAACTAAATAAAGCCTTTGATGTTCATGAACATTTGTTATTGATTATTTTAAAATAAATGATGAAATATTTGGAATTTGAGAGGTTATTTCTCTATCAAACACCAAAATATATTTCCTCAAAATGAAATTGATAGTTGCTAGCAACAAAGAGATGATTTCTATTAAAAGTGAAATAGAGGGCAACCTGTTGGGACCTCTCTCACTTCTGAGAGCTTTCTCTGTATCTTTGCTTTATAAACTTCTATCCTTTTACTCAAAAAAAAAAAAAAAAAAGAAGAAGAAGAAGAAAGAAAGAAATAGAGAAATAGTTCATTGTATGTATAATACTTAGGAGTGGGTTTTCTGTTTTTCTAAGTTAGGCAGGAAAGAGTATTTTCATTGAGTAACTGCAATGCAACACTTTCTGTGCATTCTTTTTAATTGTCACAATTCCTTAGGATAGGTCTTAACCTCCTCTTATGGATTAGGAAACAAACTTTAGAGAAAACAAAAAGAAAAGCAAAACTTACCTGACACTTTATCCAACTAGTAAGTGGAAGTGTTGGATCCACACTGAAATCTGCCTAGCGCTGGAAAGCTGTCCTCATTGTCAGTGAGTCCATACTCACCATGCTGTGCTTCCTTGCTTGGAGTGTGCTCACACATCAGCAGTGTCATGGAACACTCAGGCTGACCAGCAGGAATAGGTTTCTCTGGGAGTCTTCTGGGATTGGCTGACCTCATCAGTGAGACCTGGGTATACCAAAGACATTTAAAGTGGTGGAGAGGAGGAACTTGATTTCCCAAACAGTTTTTTCCCCCTAACTCTAGTCTAGTTAACATGCAGTGTTATATTAGTTTCAGGTGTACAATATAGTGATTCAACGATTCTGTACAGTATCTAGTGCTCATCATCATAAGTGTCCAAACAGCTCCTTTTTAACTGGCAAACTTGGAGTATTTTTTTTAAAAACTTTAAAAACTTCTTAAAAAAACATCAAAAAACATCAAAAACATCAAAATAGTATTTTTGCTTAGATGATGAGTGGGGTTTTTCTTCTGTCTTACAAAAATTTTGGGGAGTAATTTTTTTAAGTGTACTATAATGAGCTTAGATTACTTCAGTTTTTTTTTTTCTTTAAACTATATATGCATACACTCATGGTTAGAGATAATACAGAAGCGTTAGAGTGAAATACTTCTTCCCCCTCCTGGACTTTTTCTCAAAGACACCTACTTTGTCTCTTGTTCCGGTAGGACTTCAGTAGCTCCTTACTGGAGCTTAAGTCTCTTTCTGCATTTACTGATTTTGGGCATCTGTCTTCATGCTTTGTGTTTGTGAGATTTCCTCAGCTGTTTCAACCTTCCTGCTCAATGGGTTCTTTAATTCAGCAATTTTTATAATATCTTCTTTTTGTTTTATGGCTATATATCTTTCAAACTTCTGAAGGTACCAGTTAGAAATTACTTGAAGTCCTTTGTGTTGCCTGAAATCTTTAATCTGGGACCTTTATTTTCTGTTTGTTTAGCTTGGTCTTCTGATCATATTACAGACTATTGTCAAATGTCTGGTGATTCATATTTAAGAATGAAGCATACAATGCTTGGGGCTCCTTAAATGGAAGCATACAGAGAGCTGTGCTCTAGAATGCCAACATCTATACCAACTACGTGAATAGATCCCAGAAATTTTGTTCAGTTTAAGTAGAGGAGAGTCCTCCATTCACTTGTCCCCTTCCTCTCTCTCCCCTGCTGTTGTAGTTACTGTACTATGTATGGGCATGAGCCGGGCTGGCTTCAAGGCCTGTGAACTGCCCAGGAACTCAGACGGGCCCCATGCTTGGCTTAGCGCTCTACTTTGGTTGCCTTGAAATGGTAAATGTTTGCACAAGGGACCTGCATTTTTATTTTGTACTGTGCCCACTACTGGTGGTGATGATTTTTGAATATAGACCTTCCATTAATCTTATTTTTAGCTTTATTGATCCCTCCGTGGTTTCCACTGCACTTACCTCCTCCAAATCCAGAGTCTTTCTAGATTTCTGCTATGCAGGTAGACTGGTTTCTGTATTTCCCAACCTTGCCTCGCCTAGGTTATAGCTTCCATATGTCTGCTTGTAAGTCAGACAGTTTTAGACCGTTGTTGAAATTTGTTGAGATATCATCTTGTTTCACTCATTTTCCTTTTTGTTGCTATTGTGCATATGTGCTGTTTACTTTCCACTGTTACCATTTTTAGTAGGGTCTTAGAGAAATTCATGTGCTCTGTTCACCATCTTGAACTAGAAAATTCTCTCTTACTTTTTTGATATTACTGCTACTTACAAGCAAACAAAACACCCAATAAACATTAGAGTTGAAAATATGAAAAACAAATTGTCTTCATAAAGGAATAATTTTGGCTACAGCTGGAAAAAACATGCTTTGAGATGATTCATAATTTTGTTTAGAGAAAAAAGAGAAGATCTGAATTTAAGCATTTATTATTTATTTTCATTACTTGAGCATTCCATAATTTTTTAGCCCAAAATAAAAACAAACTTAGCAGTTGACACCTATCATTATTTTCTCTATGGTTATTATTTTTCTGTCTCACAGAGGGTGCTGGATCTCTGCACTGGACCGGGGGTTCTGCAGCTAAACCTGGAAAACCAAAGGGAAAGAAAAAACTTTCTTCTGTTCGTCAGAAATTTGATGTAGGTTGTTATTCAATAGATCTTGGTAACAACTGATTTAAATGCTGATGTGATGAAACTGGCCTTAGTTTTTAAATACATCTTAAAATACTAGTAGTAGAGTTGGAAAAAAGGGGGGCATGATTTGAGGAGGAATGTTACTGTATTTGAAGTTGAGAGTTTCAAAGATTGTGAGTCCCAGGTATCTGAGTTTTTATAATTCTAGTTTGTTATTGCATAAATATTAATATATTTTTGTTAATACCTAATGATTTTTTAATGATTCAAAAAAATATACCTGTATTCTTTCTCCTCTTAAGTATTTTTCTGGAATGAATAATGTTTCTTATATTGAAGATTTGTGTTCCATGGCTCCAGGACGCTTGCCTCTGGCAGGATCCTGATGTTGCCCAACTAGGCCCTGAGCCTTTGGGGATCAGCAGAGAAGTCATGAAGGCATTTGGCTATAAAATTTGTAAACATTGTAGAATAACTTGCTTTTTTGTTTGTATTTGGAGAAGAAAGTTTCTCAAAAATATTTCTTTTATAGATTTGACTGGGTGTTAATAGCTTTATTGATTAACCTCAACAAATACTTATTGCTACCTTTGTTTTTATGTATTCTATAAATAATACTCAATCTGGAAGGCATTAGTACCTCCAGAGAGGCATTCCTTGGTTTGAAAAGGGATATTTGATATAAAATACAGTTTTGTACTTGGAAAATGGAAAAACAACCAGTGTTTTCTTTTGCAATACAAACTTCAAACAGGGACAGGTCATGTTTGCTACTGTGGGTGTATCTCGCACTGACGATGGAGTATACAGATGGGCTTTCAGAGTCCACCAGAGGAAGGCAGAGGTTTTATGAGTGGGAAAAGGTTAAGAAACACTATGTTATTTTTTTAAAGATTTATTTATTTTAGAGAGAGAGAGTGCATGTGTGCGCTCCTATGAATGGGGAGAGGGGCAGAGGGCCAGAGAATCTCAAGCAGACTCCCCACTGAGCATAGAGCCCTATTTGGGGCTTGATCTCATGACCTGGAGATCATGACCTGAGCTGAAATCAAGAGTTGGATACTTAACCAACTGAGCCACCAGGTGCCCAAGAAAAATTATTTTAAATAATTAGAATGACTATGTTAGCAAGATTCTGTGTTGAGGATTGTAAGTAAAAGACTATATAAAATAGTTATATCATCTGGTGTTCTTTTAGAATACCTGTTATTAAATCTGTTATGTTGGTTGGCTAGGCTTTTTACAGCATAATTGGAGTATTACTATATATTTCTACTTTCAGAACTTGCTTACTTACAAGTATATTTAAAATGCTCTGACTTGTTTGAAAATAATTTTATATCTTCTCCTTCCCCCTAATTGTTATTTTTAGCACAGAGCCATATATTCTGTGGTTACCAAGGTATTAATTGAATAGAATAAACTGCTGTGCATACTACCATTATTCCCCTTAATTCATGTCTTCATTATGTAATGGGTGTGAATCTGTGATTATTTGTACACAAGTCACTTTTTTTTTTTAAACCCCTCCGGTATGGTTTGGTGACAATTTGTGGGATCTCAAGTCCAATAAATTGGTTATTTTTGTTGTGTCTCATTACTTGCCACTGTGATGAATAATTTTGAAAAGTTTTCTTACCCATAGCATAGATTCCAGCCTCAAAATCCCCTCTCGGGAGCCCAGCAGTTTGTGGCAAAGGATCCCCAAGATGATGATGACTTGAAACTCTGTTCCCATACAATGATGCTTCCCACTCGGGGTCAGCTGGAAGGGAGAATGATAGTGACTGCTTATGAGCACGGGTTGGACAACGTCACCGAGGAGGCAGTCTCAGCTGTTGTCTATGCGGTGGAGGTTGGTTTGCTGGTGGCAGAAAGAGTTTTACAGGTTGAATGTAACAAGCTTGTGTGTGTTGTTAATTTGATCCTGCAAGAAAAGAACCAAAATGTCATGATCTGAGAATTGTTGTCTTGAAATGGATTTCTTTTGAGGGGAGAAACACCTCATAGTTCAAGCAGTTGCCTTTAGTTAACAGACTAAGCTTTTCAGAAAACTTATTGTGGCCTAACACTTCTGCTTAATTTGGTGTTAATTTGTTAGTAAGGGAGCAGTTTTTGCTTTTTTTTTTTTTTTTTTTTTTAAGATTTTATTTATTGGGGCTCCCTGGGTGGCGCAGCGGTTTGGTGCCTGCCTTTGGCCCAGGGCGCGATCCTGGAGACCCGGGATCGAATCCCACGTCGGGCTCCCGGTGCATGGAGCCTGCTTCTCCCTCTGCCTGTGTCTCTGCCTCTCTCTCTCTCTCTCTCTCTCCCTCTCTCTCTGTGTGTGTGACTGTCATAAATAAATAAAAAAATTAAAAAAAAAGATTTTATTTATTTATTCATAAGAGACACAGAGAGAGAGAGAGAGAGGCAGAGACACAGGCAGAGGGAGAAGCAGGCTCCATGCAGGGAGCCCGATGTGGGACTGGATCCTGGGTCTCCAGGATCACTCCCTGGGCTGAAGGCGGCACCAAACCACTTAGCCACCCAGGCTGCCCTGATAAGGGAGCAGGTTTTGTTTTTTTTTTTAATTTTTATTTATTTATGATAGTCACACACAGAGAGAGAGGCGGAGACATAGGCAGAGGGAGAAGCAGGCTCCATGCACTGGGAGCCCGATGTGGGATTCGATCCTGGGTCTCCAGGATCACGCCCTGGGCCAAAGGCAGGCGCTAAACCGCTGCGCCACCCAGGGATCCCCAAGGGAGCAGGTTTTAAGGAAAAAATTGAGATGTAGAATCCTAAAGATTAAAATCACTGATTTTTGCTGTGGCACAGCATTTAAAGAGTCTAAACAGTGAGATTCTTGTCTTAGCACACTCTTTCACTGATCCATTCACTTTATTCATTTAATTATTTGACAAAATATATTGGGATCTATAGTGTGTAGGTATGCCAGATGATACTGGGTAATTCCCAATACTTGGGGCCTCCATTTGCTCTCATGTACTCCAGAGATTATAATAGCTGTCTCATCAAGTTGTAAACATTAAATGAATTTGGTGTGTGGAAATGACAAATTGTATCATGAAAGCCTGGATATGAGATTATTTTACTAGTATAGTTGAAACACCAGGCCTAATACTGACTCTCCTGTTATTAATAGTAGACTGGGACCAGCTCTCTCTCTTTATTTTCACATTTTCCATTCCTCTCTAATGTACTTGGCTCTCCTTAAGAGATATTAAATACCTAATTTTTGTTTATTTTCTATATATCTGTTATGTATGGTTTTTGGGGAGAGCCAAGGTTCTTTAATGCAAGAATTTTAGTAGATTGGGCATTGTAACCAATAAATTTTAGATCTTGAGACTTTCTGTCCTATTTTAAAACAGGTTTCAAATTAATTTGCCTCCTTTTTAAAATTTTATGTATTTGTTTTTGTACTTTAAGGCTATCTGAAAATCCTTTTCTGAGAGGAGCCAATTTGGAGATATAAATAACTTCTTTAATAAATTTCATGTAGAGTAAGCCCATGTTAAATTGAACTAAATAAAAATAGCACATCTCCCTCTTTCCTTTACCCTCCTACTCTGGTGTGGCTTTGTGGCTCTTTGGTAAATAAATATTCATTTGGTTCCAACATATGCTAGCTTGTCTCATATCTCCATCCACTAAATGCTAGTAAACATTTTTTGGTCAATGGAAGTTCTATGATTTGCTTTTAAACAAGAGTTCATGCTATTTTTCTTTTCTTTTTTGTTTTTACAGAATCACCTTAAAGATATATTGACATCAGTTGTGTCAAGAAGGAAAGCTTATCGGTTACGTGATGGTCACTTTAAGTATGCCTTTGGTAGTAATGTAACCCCACAGCCATACCTGAAGAATAGTGTAGTAGCTTACAACAACTTAATAGAAAGGTATATGAAGTTTCTTGTGATTTTTGCATCCATCCTTTCCTTTCTGGTTGGTATACTACTATTACGTATTAGACCACTGTTAAATAATTGCTTATTATGTTTCTGTAAGTCTCAGGTACCTTTGAGGACAGTGCAGTTTTATTTTCTTTGGTGCATCCTTGGTGATAACTAATTAATTGTTTGGTACTTTGTATCAGAAGGGAAGTTGCAGAGTTTGGCTGCCACAAGTAGTTTACTGTGAGTGTGCCCCACTTTCTGAGGTGGACGGAGTGGTTCCCTGGGGTGGTGCATTCTGATGGCTCCTAACGGGCCAGCATCTGCCTGGTGGTAGAAGTGGGCCTGCTCTGGGTCAGAAGTGAAGCCTGAGATTGTTGGCTCAGGGTTGGGTATCGATGGTGGGAGGAGGACTGGGAGGCATTTCTCTATAGCTTCTGTAGCTATAGCTCAAGGGAGTGGCCTATGTTGGGTGTCATCAGATTGTTCTCGGCATGCCATTGTGCAGACCTGGTCTCTCGGCCCCACACCTGGGATTCCTCTGTCCGCCCTCCACAGAGGGGGCTCCCAAGACTTCTAAGGTCCTCCTGAGTCATCACTTTATGAGACAGCCTGGATCACCTTTCATCTCATCCGCGTGTTGTCTGATTTCACCTCTCCACCTTTCTTTCTTCCTTTCCCACAGATAATTTAGTCCACAGATTGTAAGCCTTTGGGAAAGAAAAAGGAATGATGTGATTTTTCTTGTGGTAACTGAAGTGACTGAATTTCCTTGGGCGCCAGTTATCTGGTTGTTTAGGGAGATGACAGGAGGTCCAAGTTCAGAGCAAAAAAAAGTGTGACTGGGAAGACTGGCAGGAGTGATGATGGTGAAGAAGGAATAGGAAGGGAACGTAGGAGACGTGGTAGGAAAGCCGAGAAGAGAGTTGGACACAACAGGGAGGGGGTTGTACCTACTTCATGGCTGAAGACCTTTAGGCCCATTTTGAAGAGCCCCATCTTAAATTAGGTTCACTATTTTTATTTAGATTGTCAAATGTGAAGATTTACATTCTCAGTCTCATTCAGGCCTATCCTGTGTGGGAGTATTCTCTTTGTAAGTCATTCTTTTCTGGAAAAAAAACAAACCAAAAACAGGGAGAGGGGGCTCCTTTTAGTGGCCGAATGCTGGGAGCAGCCTATCTGACCCTGCTAGGCCTCCCGAGCTGCCTCTCTCCCCCGCCGGCGGGCCCACAGGGCGTCACCTCAGTGTCGGGGCATCACCTCACTGTCGGCGCTTGTTTCTCCAACAGGGCTGCCTTTGTCTCATGCCCATACCCACGCACATACCCGCTTGTGCTTTGGTCTGAGTTACCTCCTCGTTGTTTTACCTCCTAGATGTTCTTGAGAACTGTAAAGGTCATCTCCTACAGTATTATGATACAAAAATTATGCCTGACTTCCCTGCTGATACTATATCTGGATCCTGTTTTCGGAAATTGGCAAGATTTGGGTTTTCTCCGTCCCCCGTTTTTGCCTGCTGCTTATTCTGTGCCATATCTTCTTTTCTTGCATGTTAATTTTCAATCCTGTTGCCTCCAGTTACATTTTATCTTCCTTTCCCAAGTCAGTTTTTCAATTTCATTCTCCTTTAATTAAGGTCTGTTTTTCTTCCCCTGACTAGAAGCACTTTAAGGGCAGGAAACAATTTTGGTTCAGTATCTTGAGCTCAGTAAATATTTTATGTGTTTATGTTTTGTTTCCAGCCTGACGGATGGGCTGCCTATGATAATTAAAATTAGAGGCTACTCATGTATATGCTAGCTAAAAAAATAATTAGATTTGTAATTGGGTTTTTTGTTCCTTTTAAGATATTTTTAATAAGCTGTATTAAAGCCCATTTCTACTCTAGTTGTTCAGTTGTCTCCTTCCTAGTTACTGGGAATATTTTTAAAATACTTTGTCTTCAGCCCTCCAGCCTTCTCTGCTCCTTGTGCTGGTCAGAACCCAGCTTCCCACCCGCCCCCTGATGACGCGGAGCAGCAAGCTGCACTCCTCTTGGCGTGCTCTGGGGATACCCTCCCTGCGTCTTTGCCTCCAGTCAACATGTACGACCTTTTTGAAGCTTTGCAGGTAACTCTTGGCCCCTTGAGGTTTATCTAGATTTATGGTTCAAAGTTCACTTGAGTTTACAAAGATAATTTGGTAGCTTTTCCTCCTCCTGGTTTTGGTTTTCAGTTTCTGTTGTTTGTTATTAAAGCCATTAATACTATCCTCATTTTTCAAATCCAGGGCCCAGGCCTCCTTCCTAAAACTTACCTCTTCCAGCCCCCATGTCCCCAGTGAAAGAAAGAAAAGAAAAAAAATTTATTCCCTTACTCCTATTTCAGAAGCTTGTTATTTCTTTGTTTTCTTGCTATCTAGTTGGAGCTTTATCATTAGGCATTGGCTTATAGTTTATAGGTATGTGTGTCTTTTGTGTGTTTTGTTGACATAAACCTTACTTTTTAATTTATAAAATGTTGGAAAAATATACTGAAACATAATGGAGTCATGCTAATATTTTAATCACAGGTACACAGGGAAGTCATTCCTACACATACCGTATATGCTCTCAACATTGAAAGGATCATCATGAAACTCTGGCATCCAAATCATGAAGAACTGCAGCAAGACAAAGTCCACCGCCAGCGCCTGGCAGCCAAGGAGGGCTTTTGCTCTGCTGAATTAAGGTGATTTGAGGGCATGGGACCCTCAGCAAATTCATTGGTTAGAGAATTGAATGTTTCTTGGGTCCACACTTCAAAACTGAAGTGTATAGTGTAAATATAAACTTTCCTATGGAAATGTGACACTGAGTACATTTTGCGTTGCTACTGTGAAGCCATTAATATAAATCTGACTTTGATAATGACCCATATCTCTGTATGTATGTATGTATGTATGTATGTATGTATGTATGTGTTCCCAGTGATGGGAGTAAGAAGCACTGATAAAATCCTGTGCCTAGAATGGAGATGTTTTTAGGCATCTGAGGCTTAGTATCCTGTGGTCTGTTTGTGAGGTAGATGACATCCTAGAACAAAGAAGCTTTTATAACTTAGTTCCCATGATCAGCAGGACATCTGTGTGTTCAATGACAGCATATATTCTGTTATCTGGCAAGCCTAAAATTTCTGCCTTTTCCTAAAGAACTGTGCTCTTGGATTTGGGTTGAAATAATCCACAGTATTAAAAATCATATACCTCCTTTAGTGAGCAGATATAGGTATCTCCCCCCAAATTCATTACAACTCTATAGAAAATAGGACTTAGAAATGCTATACTGTTAGACAAAATAAAGTCCTTTCTTTACATTAAAAACCAAAATAAAAACTCTGGAATGTAACTAATAAAGTTTTTTCTCATAACTTACGTTTCTTTTATACTTAATATGCCCAAAGACTTTGGCAAAATTCATCTCTTGATTATTCCTATAGAATAGGTTTTAAGAAGCCCATGTAGACATACTGGATTTATACTTAGAAATTCCCCACTTCCTGTGCAGTATCTGTTCTGTCCTTCCAAATGATAAAGTGCAAATAATTTACATTTTACAGTGTTACTAATAATAAAGTTTGTTTTTTTAGAGGTGATGCTTTTTATTCAGAAGATAGTGTTGGTGACTAGATTAGAAGGTACAGATGGGTTGTGTAGGTCTAAGTAGTATGTATAGATATGTATACATGGTTCAATATTTGTGTATTTGATTTTGTACTTCAAATGTGACAAATAAACCTTTTGGGAGAAAACTTTCCTCTTGTGTACTTATTAAACATATAAGGAATACTGCTGCCTTTAGAAGTTTGAAAAGCCCTGCTCTGTGAGATTTAGAAGACTGTTCAGAGAGGGATGTGATGGATGAGAAAGATTAAAAAACAGGTTCCAACTTAGGTATGTAGATCATTTCTTCCTTTTGTGATGTGTGGACTGAAAAGAAAAATTAAACACCTTAGTTTCAGTTCTGGGTGCAAGTCTGAAAAGTCCTTTAGAGTTTTAGATAATTTTTCAGGTTTAGAAGAATTTGGACGGACACTCAGCTGAATGTAATGATTTGGTTTGGGGCTATTCGTAGATCTGGGGCCTTACTGCTGAGTATGTGTTAAATTCCATGCAGTCCCTGGATGGAAAGCAGCCAGGAGCCTCAGCCATGTCTGGCTGCCTGTTGCAATGGCAGCTCCCATGGAAGTCCCACTGCTCCCTAGTGTGTGGTCCACATCCTCAGCCACCTACCCTGGTGGGACCACAGGACACCAGAGGACTCTGTTTGCCTCATGTCTCTTGTGCCTACATGAAAATCTACTTTCTGTGCCAGTTTTCCTAAGGAATCATTTTGTAAAGTGAAAGATGGGGTTGAAGGTAGAGGGATACTTAGGCTTTTTCAAGAGATGCCCTGAAAGATGTGAACACCTGTGTTGCACCGAAGGTTGGTTCCAACTCCCAACTGTTGCCAACTGTGGGATCCAGAGTGAAATCGTGACTGCTTATTACCAAGCATTTAGAAAAGTAACTCCCAGTGAGGAAAAAGCTGTTAGAAACTAGGTAATTTCAAAATTAGAATAAAGCTTATTTTTCCTGCAGGAGTGTAATGGCCTTTTAGCTACAGGTGTGTCACTATGTAAACCAGGTTGGATAAGGCCCACCTTACTTTATACCAGGCATCCCGTGCTGGATTTGCACACATTCTCATTGCCTTGATCACCCCCTGCTGGGACCAAGTACAGGTTCCTCAGACACTACCCACCCTGCCCCCGCCACCATTGCCTGAAGCGATCTGGATGTTTCTGACTGCACCTCACAATTAACTTCTAAAGGATTACTGTTTGACCATTAGATAAATGCCCGTGTTCCATCATATTTTGGCTCCTGCCAAAATGCCTCCAGGATGCAGAATAAGGGTAAGGAAGCTTGATTTTAGGAGTCAGACTTAGGTGCTGTGGCCAACAGATTGGTTCAGCGCTGGATTCTGATGGCTTAAAAAAAGGAAAAATGTCTGGATTGTTCTTAGATAGTAGACTACTAATTTCATTGAATCTGTGGGTATGGTAGATCATCAGGACTAATTTGATTTAAAGCACACCATGAAAAGGGATGTAGGTTCTTCATGCTTTCATTTTTTCAAGAAATTTATGAAAACAGGATACTGAGTTTTCTTCTCTGTTCATCAACTTCCTAGCATGCCTTCACTAAGATTAATATCCCTTTATGGATTTACTCCATGTGATTTGGTAACGTGCCATCCCTGAGAGCATCTGAGATGTGACTGAGGAAAAAAGCTATTCATGCCAGGTATCCCAACACCTCCTGCCTGACTTTTAATTCAGTTTGAAACCATATACACCATTTTCCTTTGTCTTCAGACACCAGCATTTATGTTGCCATCCCAGGAATATTACATACACAAACATACCCCAAACTGAATGGAGAATAAAGCGTAAATGATCGTTTGAAGTGTGACCTTTCACAATGCTAGCAGGTAAATAAATAAAACCACCATAGCCTATTGTCTTTATTATCAAAGTTTATTGTTGGGGTCAATTTCTATCTACTGGGGAGTACAACTATGTCTCAATATGTGCTATAGTAATTCTAGGGTAATAGCCATTCTGCAAAATAGTTGTACTGGGACTCTGTTAAGCATAGATCATAATTAAGTCTGGAAGAATGAGCCCAGAAAAACCCTGACAGTAGAGCCATTACTCTAGGAAAGTTCCAGTGCTATGCAACCTGTAAGGCATCATCTATCAGCTGATGATGAGACTCAAGAAGGTGTTGGTGGAATGAAACAGGACTTGAGCCCATTTTCTACTCTTTTCCGTAAGAAAACTATGGCTCCAGTGCAGGAACCCAAAATTAGGTCTCATAAAATCAATTAAGCTCCCAAAGCAAGTAAAACAGGACATAAGAGGAAGGGCCAGGAACCAGGACAGTGGAGGAGAAATTAAGTGGAAGTGGAGGGGATGGAAACTTCTGGAATGCAAAGTAGCGGGATTTGGATGCCATTTGTGGTAACACAAATGTGTTGGTGAAAAGCAAATGGGGAGACAATTCAAACACTGAAAGTTATTCAGATACCAGAAACTAAGTGAAATTATCTCCCCCATCCCCACAACTCCCTTGGAGGAAAACTGGTTTTAAAAAAATGAGTAAGGTGAATCACTAATAGGAAAATGAGTACCTGAGTAGAAATAGGTGTTTCAAGATGCCAAGAACAGTATGATCTATAAATGAGCTGAGTCTACAAGGAAAAGTGGTTACTGTTACTCAGATCTGACATTGGAATGACATTTCTAGCAGTGGCTTTGTCTATAAGGTCCTGGCATATTTTTTGTAGCACAGATAAGCTTAGAAGGAATGTTCTCATGACAACTTCTGTGGGAATGCAAATGTCTATAATGTAAAAATTCAAAGACCTCCCATCTATTCCTGCAGGGTAGAGATTTAAAGTACTGAAACAGCTTGTGGCTAAAAGGCCCATGTCCTCTCATACCCTTGTGATAAAAATATTAAAGAAATGAACAAAACAAGTATCAGATGAGTCAATGAGCCTTGTACCATGTAGACAGCAGATAATTTATGGTGACTTCTTCTGCAGGCAGCCTGAGAAACAGAAGAGCTTGTGTACTAAATGCTGCCCTATCATTAAGTATAATGACAAACAGAGCCATTAAAGAAGACCCTAAAAAATTCTAGCTGCCGACCAGATTAGGAAGATAAATAAAACAGCACAGTTTATTTTAACCTGTATCTTCCACACTAACCTAATTTGTCTGTAGAAAAGCCATCTGCTGGCACCAGGCCAGTATGTCTGAAGTTTGCTATCATTAGTATTTTCATTTTTCCAAAAGAGGAAATGTATAAGTAGCAGGTATACATAAAAGACTCATTTCCATAAAGCCTTTTCTGTAGTTTTAACCTGTGTGGGGACAGGTTCTACTCTTGGAAGCATTTTTAAAGGCAAAAGAAATCATTTACTTGAGGTTTGCTCCACAGAAAGGACACCAGTGGAGTTGGGCCCATGAGTCTCTTGTTGGTATTGAACAAATGGTCTCTTCTCCAGGAAATACCTTTGTTCATTCATATTTACAGGGTTTTTTAGTGGACACATGGATTAATCTCTAAACAAAAAATGGGGCAGAAGCAGTTTCTTCCCTAATCATGTCTCTGCTGAAATCGAGGGTCCAAGACACCTTTTCTGACACCTTGTGGATGTGGGGCGGGGTTAGGCTGTATCGCAGGATGGGGTACACAGGCTGCTGTCCAGACGGGCTTGTTCCGAGCCCTGTGGCCTTTTGCTGCTCCCTGTGCATCCACACTTTGAGGAATCTTCTTGAGGATTTTCCTCCTCACCTGTTTCAAATAGTTCCATTTGCTGGAAAACAGAGAGAACCGAAGTATGAATTAACCCTTGGATTTTGGATTTTAGAAATCGTATACATTTTAACAAACACAATTATTCCATTAGTCAGACTTCCAAAGACATGAGTAGAGGCAGTTTTATGGCCGTCTATCCCCTCCTAAAACTCCTGCTTCCTGAGAATCCCTACTTCTATCACTTCTTCAGCTCACAAAAGGGCAGCTGTAGAGAGAAGTGGTCATGATGGGCAAAAGGTCACATTTGGTATTGGACGTACATGCCTACCTTCGCAGCTGCAGCCTAGCCCTGTCTCTTCCCTCTCCTCTTTTGGTAGTAAAGAGCTTAGAAAAGAAAAAAATGTTATCTAACAAGGAAGGGGGCGCAGAAAAGTAAAATGAGAAACGAATTAAAAATTCACTATAACTCAAAGTTTGATATCCAGCGGAGGTTGGTTAGCAGAAAAGGAGGCTGAATTCATGAAGAGAGAGGGAAGGGACGTGAGGGGGGAGAAAGCAGTTTCGGTGATGTGAATGGAACAGTAAGAACACCCTGCTGGAGGACTGACAGAACTCCCAGTGGAGACAGTATCTAGGGGTCTCAGAATCACAGTGGGGTTCAGTAGTATGCATACGATTCGATCTGAGGGCAGGGACAGAGACGGAAGTCACTCTTGCACTTATACAGCAAGGAGTGGGATGAAAGATTTGAGTTAGCACTTCCCTTGAAGAAAACAGCAAGTAGGATGGAACCGTGGAGTTACGCCACAAAAGACATGTCAAGGTAGTTTTGGGTCCTCTGTAGAAAAAGGAATGACCCTTCATATTAAATACTGTGTGTCTAGGGAAATAAATTGACCATCAGGGAGACAAGAGCAAGAGGGTAAAATGAATTGTATGTTCTTTCCACATGTTCCCTCAGTGTACCTGGTTGGCCGCGCTCTCATCTCAAGGTGTGTGTGTGTGTGTGTGTGGTGTAGACTTGCCTCCACCAGTGGTGTGTTCATCTGCACTCCCCGATTCCTCTTAAAGCTGCTCCCCTTCTATATTCAATTCTGAAAATTCCAGGCCTTGGACTTTATTCACTGTAGTCCCAGATATGTGCCCTGTTTTCTTTTCTTTTTTTGGTGCAAAGATTCAAATTAGAAATATCTCCCTTCAGACATCAGTGGGCTATAAGAAATTACTGCAATTGCTCATTCCATCCATGTGAAGGTCATGATGAGATTAAGAGATGTTTTAAAAACACTTTTGAACTTCATGGGAAAAGCAAGTCTAAGCTACCGTTTTCACACCCCCGTGGGTTTCTGCAGACTACTCAAGCACGGAGGTGAGGCTCACAGCACACAGTGCTCTCCCCTACACCAGGGTGTTCTCCCTACATCATGGTCCT